TTATTTTCTCTCCCTAATGTTTTATTTTTCACATCTATTGGATTGAACTTGTAGATATTTGAAAAAGGTTTCATTACTTAGTCCAAGCTGAACTGAAATGAAATATAATAGACAGCCTATATTTGACCCCAAGGACTATGTACCTTTCCATCCTGAGTGGTGAGATTCCAGGTACTTATCATCATGCTCATGTCGTTTTCATTTTCAGATGATCTCAATTTGCAAGTGAAGGAACTCCAGAAGTCTGAGTATTAACAGCCACAATCCCTGGAAGTTTAGTGAATACATGCCTTTTTATCCCTTTCTTGGTGTTTTGTATCTCCTCAATGGGATCTAGAGATCTCAACAAAATAATCTTTTACCACAAGTACACATCTGTATTTTTCAATTTTAGAGTCATTGATCACTACACATGAAAGTATATTTGTTATGTTTCAAACTAGGGACAGATGGATAGCTGAAATATCCATTAACATATCAAAGAAGACACTAGCTGCCCACTATATCCGATTCTCTACCTGTTACAGGGCATTCTTGGCTGGAACAACTCACTCTTTAACACTATCCAAGATACTGGACTGTTCTTGTCTTCCTCCAGACTTTGGCCTCTATATAATTCAGTATTATGCATCCAACCACTTTTTTCATCTATCTTTTAGGTAAACCTCCTAGTCTCTTGGTCTGGATCTTCCATTTCCCATCTTTTCTCTTCATGTGACCTGGCTCCTTCTTGCCATATTGATTCTGGATTTTCCCATATGTATCTGCTTCTGGCTATACTGTCCCTTTTATTTACAATAAAATATTCTCCACTAAACCTAAGAGCAAGTTTACCTTTTCCCTAATTTTTGTTCATTCATCTTATCTAAAGTGCATGATGCATTCAGTGTCAAAACATGGGTTTCAGACAAAGGTTAGACTTAATATACATAGAGTAAAATTAAAACGAGAAAACAAAAGAGTATTAAAAAGACAATCCATCATAAATCTGATTCAAAACCCCACTCCTAGATAAAAAGATAAAGGCAGTCAATGCTGGCTGAGAGACTGAAAATCCATTATATTTCTGGAACAGTTCTTTCTCCATGTTATATAATCCCAAGTGGCCAGACCTAAGCCTATGTACACAAGAGCAACACTACGTGGATTTAGTAGGATTATCAAATGTGTATATTTGTGTGTGGATGTATATGTGCATGTGTAATAATAATTTAAGAAGAAAAAGAAAGAGAATACTACTACTACTACTACTACTACTACGAAGAAGAAGAAGAAGAGGAAGAGGAAGAGGAAGAAGAAGAAGAAGAAGAAGAAGAAGAAGAAGAAGAAGAAGAAGAAGAAGAAGAAGAAGAAGAAGAAGAAGTCATGAATATGAGAGTTCAGAGCAATACCAACCCCAGGTTTCTTCCCCAGCCTCATAGCAGCAAACTTTATGGGGTCTGCCCTTCCTTTGTAGTTTCATTCCCAGGAATCTCCACATATCTTCAGTCAATTTCCCACTCTTCATCCATTTTTTCCACCCACCAAACCCTGGAGTACTCTCTGACTGAAAACCAGCTGGCCTCCACAGCTTGGAAATTATAAAGGTAATATTCACTCCCCTTCCTCTCCTCTTTATCCAATTACCCAGTCTCATTTCCAGCCCTGAAACAGATCATCCTTTCTGACTCCATTCCAGAGGTATCCCACTGTTTCTCTTGTTGGACTACACTTTCCCTCTCCTGGACTGGGAATCAGGTAGGACATTCTCACTCTTCTTACTTTTAATTAATTCCTATCCCCTTACCCTCATCCCCAGTGCTTTAGTCGACATCATGAAAGGGCCTGTTCAAACTTCAGGAAAGATCCAGATTTTTCTATGGACCACTTGAAGCCCCTCTGACCACACCTTTGAGCCCATCGCCACTCCTGTCAATCTCCAATACATCAAAATACATTTAATCAAAGACTGACAGTGGCCACATCTGGCAGGAACTCATATGTGCTCTCTACCAGGCAACTCAGAGCCACCAAATATTTCTAAGATCCAGATATGGCAACAAATTCAAGTAATTCTGCTGGATTCAAGGGATATAACCTCCAGCTAACATAGATAAGACCAGATGTCAATATTTATTATCACAATCACTCCAAACTCAGATGCCTAAACATTAGTATAAAAATATAATCAAAACAACCTTAGACAATATTTTATTCAGGGCTCTGAATTTGTCCACCTTCAAATCTATACTATCTGCAAATCTTTGAGATTTGTCAAAAGATCATTCTTGCTGATCCAAAGCTGTAAGATCTCTATGACACAGGAAAACAACACATAATCAAGATGAATTCTGAAGAAGATTCAATACTGATGGTGTCACAGCAGCCAAAGATCTTGAACTAGACCAATAACTCATTGCAATAAACATTTGCAAGTGAAGGTATGTGGACAGAGATGCACAGAGGCACACTGTGACGTATTACAACTACTATGATGAAATGCATTCTAAGCTTTGTTGTTGTTTGTTTCTTTGTATATTTTATTTTGGGAGAATTGCAAGGGGAAAGGTCAGTTGTAAGGGAACAAGCAAAGTAAGAATTTCTGGTTTTGTTGGAGACACAGTTGTGTTATATAATGTTTTTCTGGAAGCTGTCTGGTCAAATGGCATGTTATGTTTTTGCTGGAGCAGATGCTTGAGAGGACATGTGATATTTGGAAACAGTATAACACAAAAGACTGTGAACACTGCTCTGGCATTGGTTTGTTTGCTGACCTTCATTGGGCTTCACTGATACTAGTCTTCATTTGTCATGCTTTAGTAGAGAGATGTGCACCAAAGAACTTCAGATGGTGTACCCACTGGTTCTAGATGCTTTGGAAAATAATCATCAGAACATCATGGTTTCTTCTCCATTGACCTGATACTGTGGATTCCTGTTTGGTGTTTTGGTAAAGAACTAGACTGCACATAAGTAAGTTTGGAATTTCTCTAAGGAACTACTTCTAAGCAGGTCCACATCTCCCTTGTCCTATTATCAATTTTCCTCCCCTACATTTGGTAGTCTGTAAGGTTGGTTGAAATGTTTAATAACCCTTATTAAAGTAGGCTTTGAAAAATATAAGCCTACAGATGGGAGATGAGCAGAACTGGGGTGCCTAACATGAAACTCACAAAGAAGCAATAAAAGCCGGGCGGTGGTGGCTCACGCCTTTAATCCCAGCACTTGGGAGGCAGAGGCAGGCAGATTTCTGAGTTCAAGAGTTCGAGGCTAGCCTGGTCTACAGAGTGAGTTCCAGGACAGCCAGGGCTACACAGAGAAACCCTGTCTCGCAAAAACCAAAAAAAAAAAAAAAAAAAAAAAGAAGCAATAAAAAATTAAAAAATAAAATAAATATAAGAATCCCAATTAAAAAAAAAACTAAAATAACCTCCATAACAAAGAAACAAAAAGAAAATGTTTAATTGAAAAATTTCTAGGCACAAAACATCCAGGTAATCCAGGATTTCACATAAAGACCTACTCTATAAATAAATTGCAATAAAAGAAGGGGAAAACACCCAGATCAAAGGTGCAGAAAGTATTTTTAACCAAATCATAGAAACAATTTTCCCAAATATAAAGATGGAGGTGTCTCTCAAGATACAAGAAGCAAATGGAACACATTGACTATTTGAATGGGCCAGAGAAGAAACTCTCCATGACAAATACATTATAGTACCAGAAGCAAGAAAGAACATTACAGAATATTAAAAGAAATAAAAAATTTGGATCACCAAATCAAAGTATGGGAAAATTTTCCATACTACCACAACGAAATAAGAGAAATCAAAAACCACTCACCATTGATAATGGACCATCTATGGTATCAATTACCCAATAAGACACAGACAATAGGCTGGGGTTGAAAATAGTATCCATCTTTCTGTTGTATCTAACAATAGAACTTTATACCTTCCCACCTTCACATCAAGGAGAGACATTACCTTAGGTAAAAGAAAGGAAAAGATGTTCCAGGAAAATTGACACAGGAAGCTAGCTGGTGTAGCCATTCTAATATCTGACAAAATAGACTTTAGATTCGAACTAATGTCTTTGATTAGCTTGTCATTGCTATGACAACATGCCTTATTAATCCTGGACACACAAATATGTACAAAAGAGTCTTTCACATGTATCTGGATTTATCTCATTTATATAGTTCTTTTCTTTGTTTCTGAATTCCTATATTTACTTAAGTGTTATTTAAGTTCAACCTGAAGAATATTCTTCCAATGTTATTTTTTTAAATGTGATTTGGAGGTGGCTCTATGGATAAAGTGCTTCCCACATAAGTGTGAGGACCGGGTTTTCACCCCAAGAACCCATACAAAGAGAGATGCAGCAGGAACAAGTGACTATACTTGGAGTGATGCTACGGCAGATGAGAGACAGAGACAAGAGAACCCCTAGAAGATCCTGTGTCAGGCCGACTTTTGTAAGAATTGTGAACTCTGTTTCAGACAAGATCAAAGGTAACAGCCACATCCAACATTGTCCTCTGACATCTATCCACATGCAAGGAAAGTTGCCCTCACATCTGAATATGAACACTTATAGACTTTCACCCAAAAAAACCTAAAGAATAAATAAAATAACGTACTATTCTAGACAATAATTTTATTACTTCTCTTCATTGAGCCTTTATTTTTATTTCTTCTTAGAAAACATTATCATTGGGTGTGTATAATTTTGAATGATCAAGTTGTTCTTTAAATAGCTTACATTCTGTACGTAGTACATTTATTTGGCACTCTCCCAATTCATACTTCAGAAAGACTACAGGGAAAAGATATAATAAGATCGACTTGCAGTCTCTATTAAGACACATGTGATGCTCTAGTAAATATTCTCCTGACACCCAATGTGTTTCAAACAGGAACAGGTGCCCTTTGAGCAGCAGGACACACTCTGATGAGTAGATTTGCATAATGAGTCATTATATAACAGCACAGGCTCCTTCAAGGACACCTGCCAGCAGCCTAAGAAGCATCCTCTCTTACAGCTCTTAGAGATGGACACAGATGCACTCCTGCTATGGGTGCTGCTATTTTGGGTTACAGGTGAGGATGAATAGAAATGTTGGGAGCAACCTCTGTGTTCATCATGAATTTCCATGCCCCTGGCTCTTGATCATTATAATTTGGGCATTTGTAATTGGTTTTAAGTTTCTCCATTTCCTTTGATTTCCTTGTTTCTCAGAGTTGTGTTCACAATTATTCTTAAAAAATTTGAATGAAAAGGCCGTTGGCTGGGAAGGTTCCCTTAAATATATAACAATTATCTGAGTGTTTATCATTCCAGGTTCTGCTGGGGATATTGTGCTGACTCAGTCTCCAGCTTTGTTGGCCATGTCACTAGGGCAAAAGGCCACCATCTCCTGCAAGACCAGCCAGAGTGTTGATAATTATGGCTTGAATTATATGCACTGGTACCAACAGAAACCAGGACAGCCACCTAAACTCCTCATCTATGCTGCATCCAACCTAGTATCTGGGGTCCCTGCCAGGTTCAGTGGCAGTGGGTCTAGGACAGACTTCACTCTTACCATCCATCCTGTGGAGGCTGAGGATGCTGCATCCTATTACTGTCAGCAAAGTAAGGAAGATCCTCCCACAGTGCTCCAGGCCTGAACAAAAACCTCCTGTGGTTGCAGCTCACTGAGGCTGTGCCTCTCAGTTCTCTCTTACTCTCTGGCATCTCAAAACAGAGCACTCAGCTTGTTTGGAAAAAGATCTCAAATAATGATACAAGCTTTTATAAACCAATATGCATGTGTGTCCTACCGTATAAGCTTTATTATTTAATTTATCTGAAAAAAATTAGACCATTACAATTGTATCTTAATTATTATTTATCACTTAAATTTTCATTAACATACATTTATTTTCTGATATTTCTATTTCTTCTCCCCTATCTTCATGACCACATATCTGCTTATCCCCTCCACCCTCAGTATTTACCTTTGACTTTCCTATCTCTTAGGATGTACTATTTCCTTTCAAAAACGTTTTGACTTTAAAAAAGATAATAAAAGACAATTCTCATAAAGTAGAATATTTAATTGTGATTGAGTTACAGTTTTAGAGGCTTTGTCCGTTATTATCATGGTATGAAGCATAGCAGTATCCAGGCAGACATAGTGCTGGAGGAACAGAGAGGTCTACATCTTGATCTGAAGGGAGCAAGGAGAGAACTCTGTTTCCCATGAGGAGGTTCTTGCAGCCCAGTCCCACAGTGATACACTTCATTCAAGGTCTCACATATTTTGGCAAGGACACACCTAATAGTGACACTTTCCATGGGCCAAGCATATTTAAACCACCACAGAAAACATGTGAAACTTTGGCCTGAGCATTTGTAAATATATTTAAGTCTCAGAGTCATTATTCTTGGAGCTTGAGGCTAGGAGTTAAAATATAAAGCATATAGTAAACACCTCACTGCAGCCAGTATTAGAGAGTCCTACAACAGTAACAACTTCAGTAACTAGGGACCATCCATTCAAACACTGGAATGTACAGTTTATGTCACATGTCTTTCTGATTTATTTTTTTCTTAGTCTAATCATAAATTTTAAGTGCTCTTGTGATTAAGTGAGATTCATTTTGATACACCCTGCCATCTTTTGAAGTCACCTTCTTTTATTATAAGTGGAAAAATCTTTTAAAAGGAAGATCCAATTTGAGACTTGGCTAAATGCTTTGGGACAGTGTGACTCCAGGGTAAGAAATCTTTGGGTCAGAAAACTGAACATTCTTTATGCACACCATTATTGTAAATTACCAAATGGTGATTGTGTTCCAGTTGTATATGCAAAACTGAGTATGGTTCAGAACTTATGTTTAAAATGTAATTTAATAGTTTCATCTATGTATATACTGAATTTTGGGTATTTATCCTCTCTTACTTTGTATCTTCCTTTCCACTCTCCCTGGTGAAGCCTTCTCATTATATCCTATTCTAATTTGTTTTTGTTGTTTTGTGTTCTGAGTTTAATTATGATTGCTTCATGGGTATTGATTACTCCCTGGAAAATGATTAAACTGTTTATGGAAATGACCCATTCTAATTCCAGGCAATCATTAGTTACTCATAGACTTTCCAGGAATTGTAAGGACACATGCACTTCTTTCCCTTGCATATTGAAATGGTGAAGAGTCAAATTTTTTGCAAGTAAATGTAGCTGCAATTTTCTCATAGGTGTAATGGCCAGATAATGTTCAGAAGACTCTATTTCACAGCACTCCCCACAACATCTATATCTTATTTTCTTTTTCTCTCTTATTCCATGATGACCTCTGATCTGTGGGGAGGGAGACATCTTCTTTAGGGAAGAATACTCCACAGTCAAATATTCTCTGTGCTTTGACCAATTGTGTGCCTTTGCCTTAACCACTATCTACAGCTTGTAGAATGAATACTAAAAATAGTATCATTTGATTGGTTTAAATACAAGGATTTAGAAAGCAGTTTGATGTCATGCACATTTGAAAAACAAAATAAATTAAAAAACAAATGAAATAATGGTATGTTTTGTCTTATGGTCCATAATCATAATACATATAGACTCTGGAATTGGATTTCAGTTCCAGGCATTATAATTAATATCATTGTGTTTATTTCAGATAAGGATGAGGAAAACATCCTACAAGTTCATTTGGAGCACAAATGATGACAATCTGCACATTTTTTTGTGTGTATCAACACAACATTGACTAAAATATATTCTGTAAAATCATGAACTCATTGTGACTTCTGTCCCACCAGCTCTCATTGCATGGCTCATTTACCTCACACTTACTGAGAGACTTCCTGTTAAAATAACTATTTAAAATAGGCCTCTGGTCAATTGATTATCTAAGCTGCAGCGACTCTGCCTAGCTAGCTCAGCCACCATGTTTCTTGGCCGGAGGCCACATGGGCGAAGCAGCTAGAACCAGCCAGCTGTTAACACCAGCCCTGCCACTCATGAGACACCAGAGTGGGAGATGGTTCTGCTAATCTTCCATGCTGTCTCCTTAAGGCTGGGCATTGCCCAGACCATCCTGCCAGCAATGTGGGCCCAGTAATAAGATGAGACTATAATGCTTAAAGATTAATTAAAGGCTTTATATGTTTGGTATTGCTCAATATCAATATGCCCATACAAAGAGAGTTTTTTCCCAATTAGCTAACCTAAATAAAAGTTATTACCCATGACTGCTCCCCATGCCTGCTCTCCATTGCTTCCACATTTCCACCTCCATCTAGCTCCTCCTCTTCTAACTCTTCCCACCTTACCTCCTCCTACAACTTCCCAAATCAGGCTGTATCAGTCCTATGTTGGCCTCTATGCAAAGGCTATTTTATCATCTTCCACAATTATGAACATTTGAAGGCCCTGTACATTTCAGACGTTCTACTTTCACAATCACAGGGTATTAGTAGAGGGCTACTCTCTAAGTTATGTGTTGTCAAATCTCTTTTATTTTATTTTGCAAGTAAATGTAGTTGCAGTTTTCTCATAGATGCAATGGCCATGTTATGTCCAGAAGACTCTATTTGACATTAGAAATAGAGTCTGCTTTTCTGTTCTGCTGGCTATAGCTGCTAAAAAAAAAAAACAAAAAAAAAACAAAAAAAAAAAATTTTAATTGGATATCTTATTTACATTTCAGATGTTATGCCCTTTCCCCATTTTCCACCCACCCAAAACCCCTATCCCATCGCCCTTCCTCCTACTTATGTGAGGATGTTACTCCAACTACTTACATACTCCCACCTTCCCACCCTCAAATTCTCCCACTTATGCCCAACAAGGCCATCCTCCCCTACATATACAGCTGAAGCAATAGGTCCCTCTTTATGTGCTCCCGGGCTAGTGGTTTAGACACTGGGAGCTCTGGTTGGTTGATATTGTTGCTGTCCCCATGGGGCCACAAACTCATTCAGCTCCTTCAGTCTTCTCACGAACTTCTCCATTGTGAACCTCATGATCAGTTCAATGGTTAGCTGTGAGCATCCACCTCCCAGTCTCTGGCATACCTCTAAGAAGACAGCTATATCAGGCTCCTGTCAGCATACACTTCCTGGCATTCACATCAGCTTCTGCCTTTCATGACTGCACATGGGATAGATACCCAGGTGGAACAGTCTCCAAAAGGCCCCTCCTTGAGTTTCTGTCCCACACTTTGTCGCCATATTTTTTCCCTTGAGTATTTTGTTACTCCTTCTAAGAAGGACTGAAGCACTCATATTTTATTCTTCCTTCCTCATGAGCTTCATGTGATCTGTGAGTTGTATCTTGGGTATTGCAAGCTTTTGGGTTAATATCCACTAATAAGTGAGTGCATACCATGTGTGTTCTTTTGTGTTTGGGTTACCTCACTCAGGAAGACATTTTATCATTCCATCCATTTGCCTAAGACTTTCATGAATACATAGTTCTTAATATCTGATTAATATTCCATTGTGTAAATTTACCACATTTTCTGTATCCGTTCCTCTGTTGAAGAACATTTGGATTCTTTCCAGCTTATAACTATTATAAATAGTGGACATATTAGAGCATGCATTCTTGTTATATGTTGGAACATCTTCTGGGGAAGAACTTTGAACACATGTAAACGGGGGAAATTTTCTTGAACGGAACACCAATGATTTATACTCCAAGATCAAGAATTGAAAAATGGAACTTCATAAAATTGCAAAACTTCTGTAAGGCAAAGGACACTGTCAATAGTACAAAATGGCAACCCAAAGATTGGGAAAAAGCTTTACCACTCCTACATCTGATAGAGGGCTAATATCCAACATATACAAAGAACTCAAGAAGATAGACTTCAGAGAACCAAATAACCCTATTAAAATTGGGGTACAAATCTAAACAAAGAATTCTCAACTGAAGAATCTCAAATCACTGGGAAGCATCTAAATAATTGTTTAAAATCCCTAGTGAGTGATCAGAGAAATACAAATCAAAATGACCCTGTGATTCTACCTTACACCAGTCAGAATGGCTAAGATCAAAAAATAAGGCAACAGCAGATAGTGACAAGAACGTGGAGAAAGAGAAACACTCCCCCATTGCTGTTGGGATTGTAAGCTGGTACAACTATTTTGCAAAACATCTGGTGGTTCCTCAGAAAATTGGAAAAAGTTCTACCTGAATACCCAGCAATACAACTCCTGGGCATATACCCAAAATATGCTCCAACATATTACAAGGTCATGTGCTCTACTATGTTCATAACAGTTTTATAATAGCCAGAAGCTGGAAACAACACAGATGTCTCCAAGGCCAAAAATGGATACAGAAAACTTATACAATGGAGTACCACTCTGGTATTAAAAACAATGACTTCATGAACTTTACAGGCTAATGGATGAAACTAGAATATATCTTCCTGAGTGAAGCAGCCCAGACCCAAAAGGTCATACATAGTATTTACTCTGTGATAAGCTGATATTAGCCCAAAGTTCTGAATACCAATAATAAAACTCACAGAACAAATGAAGCTTAAGAAGAAGAAAGACCAAAATGTAGTTGTTTCAATCCTACTTAGAAGGGGGAACAAAATAATCATGAGAGGCAGAGGGAAGGAGATATTTGGGTGTGGGAGGGAAGGGGAAAGGACAAAGGGGGCAGGAT